ATATTCGTCTAAATTCTCAGAATACCCGAGATTTAACCTCTAGAATTCAACTTTTCACTACTCAAGCAAAATTTCCAGGCTCCACAAATCTGGAATGAACTAATGCATGAACTTGAATAATCTTCCAGATTAGTGTTAAGCTTATATGAAGATGACTTTTTGAAATATATTCACATTCAGCATGACAATTTTTAATAACTCACAAAATAATTGAAACTGACGTGGCTAATTTCCATTCGTTATTTGTCACAGTTTTTACTCTATTTCCCTTTTCTTAGTTAACATTGTTTAAGCGGATACAAGTGATTTTGCAGAATAAAATAAAAGCGGACATCCGTTTATGATAAGTATGATTTTTAGTCTACTAGATCCCTTTCAATGAACGAGACGTAGCGAGACGTTTGGCTTTTGTGTTGCCAAATCCCTAAAGATCAACTTTTTCGGCATTTTTTATTCATATCTTTTGTGGGCGCTCTCTTTTAATGAGATAACGTGTTATTCTTTTATACTTCTGCCATTGACCTTACAAAAGCGGATCAAACTTTATCAGGTGAGTCTTGCGATGCATAAATAATACTTCACCTTCAATTTTATTTTATTTTTTCACTGCCGCCATTTTCGCTCTTTTCATTAATTCCTTAATAGATGTGTGCAATAGACCGTATCTATTTATTTCGCTTCATTGTTAGTTAATCCAAAACGTAAATTTTTCTAATTTTTATAGAAGGTTTGGAATAAGGATAATATTCTAACGAAATATTAGATGAAGCTACATGTGCCCTCTTAATTACAATATCAAAAAAAAGTGCTCTGAAAATGACACATTGTTATACTAAAAATTTTGTATCGTTGTGAAGATTCCAGATGTTAGATAAAATAAGGTATAGTGCGGCTTTCAGGAGAACTTCTCCAGACACCCGTCTCGCGTCGTGGCGGGTACTATGGTTACGAGGAAAGGTCACTTCGAATAGGGATGTGGAATGAATAGTTTTGTCTTAATCTTAGTGTAGGTCGTCGTGAGTAAGCCAATCGGCACCTTCTTTCCTTCATTTCACCCCCATTAGAAATGTGCTCTCACTTGTTACCATAGCAGCAGACAGCACCCGACTTTCAGTCTGGAGGAGTTCTCCTCAAAGCCGCACTATAAGTAAGTTCGTTATTTACGTCGCACTAGAGCTGCACAATGGGCTACTGGCGAAGGTCTGGAAAGCATTCCTGAGAATGATCCGAAGACATGCCATCGCAATTTTGATCCTCTGCAGAGGGGATGACTCCCCTGCTTTGGTAGCCCGACGACCTGTGCGCGAAGTCGAGCACTTTACGGTAGAACAGTTTAACGAGGATCGGTACCGCTCACCTTCAGTCCCTACGCTGGCTGATCTAAGTTGCCACCCACCCGCTTACTGACCGCAGTCAGTGATGCCGGTGTTCTACTGGGAACCGTGTCTTTAAGATCAGTCCACTGCTGGACAGATAAAATAAACTAGTAGAATTTGAAATTAAGTTAGTTTAACTGTTGTAATATCTGTTAGTGAGCGAATATGTAAGGCTATTTTTGAGCCGAAATTTATTTTAGAATTCTCAATATGATTACTATAAACATCGAACCATCCTGTGTTTTTTTAGAATTTACAATATTTTGTCTTTTTTCTTAGTCTGTGATAAAATTTTTTTAATGTAATCGTCTCGCAGACTAAACAGTTTCGCGGACAACCAGTTGAGAACCACTGTTATAGATTGTATTGGACTTGATAGTAATCTTAGACAAGCTGAGAATTTATTTTGAAAAATAGTTATATTACTATCAGCAATTTGAATTTGATAGCATCTGAGAAGCAACCGTTGTCAATACGAAAAGCTCATTAATAGGATTCTAATATTTCAAAATTCGGTATGCTTTAATTTTCGCAATTTTTTTCATGAAAACTTAATTCATGAATAAGTTTTTCAAGAATTTAATAAAAAGTTTGTTTATTCCTTTTAAGAATTTCGAAATTTAAACATATTTGAAACTTAAAACATTCCAAATTATATATTGTTTTAACGAGTTTTTAACCAGTCTGCGCGTAAAACTCACCACATTTGTTGACTTAGAGAAATTGACATCCTTCGACTATGCGTAATGAATATATCCAAAATTATAACAATGTTAACTTATCGAATATTTTATACGAGAAACATTAGTTTGTCAATGTCTGATATTAGCAGTAGCATCATTTTTTTAGGAATGTTTTACGTTCTCCTACTTTAAGAACTTAATTTGCAAATCGCTCAGTGAAATATTAATTTTATTTACTACCAAACCTCCGTTTTAAATTTAGTTTGTTAAAGCGTCTATTTGAAGGTCAGATTACCTGTCATCAGCTGTAGTAGACATAAAATGGTGTCACTTGAAGGTTATCATAGGTTTCAATGTGGGCCGATTAAAGGGTGGAGGTGTCCGAAGATAGGGTGATGACCTTATTGCTCACTTAAACGTTGTAAACATTACATCTGAAGTTATAAAAAAAAGTTTTAATTATTTTTTAAATTATCCAACCGATTCTGAAATGGGAAATGAAATGAACCTATAATGGCAAAACAAAATGGTTTCGCTAAAGAGAAATCGAGGTTAATGAGTTTTATAAATATAGTGTATTTGTTAGAAGGTCATCGTAAAATAACATCTGCCCTCCGGTCAGCAGGATGCACTTTTTTATAGTGGTTAATGTTTTATTGTGCTTCAGGTTTTTTTTTTTTTTTTTTTTTTTTTTTTTTTTTTTTTTTTTTTTNTTTTTTTTTTTTTTTTTTTTTTTTTTTTTGTATATTTTCTATGTTTTACCTTCTCGTATTTGAAATTGATTTTTAACAAAAATTTTAAGCATTATATTTAGCTAAATACAACTAAAGTTTATATTCATGATCTTGAAATTAAGCTTTAGAATATTGCTTTCTTATAAAGCTTAACTCGTACATTTTCTCATCAATGAAATAAAAATTTTTACTAATTTCCCGTAAAATATAGTTTATTAAATATTTCAATTTTAGTTTTCTTTTTGACAACATATTTTTTTTTAATTGTTAAATATTCGAAACATGATTAAGGCAGCACTGTTCAGATGATATTTGAACTTCATGAATTGTTTAGATGTTATGCCGGCAAGTTTCTAATAAGAGATCTTAAAGTATTTGCCTTTCTTTCTAGGGCAATTTACTCTTTCATACATTTTATTGAGTATAAGAATGCATTAAAATATTTTCTAATTTTAGACTAGTTTAAATTAAAATAGTAAAAATCGAAATTCTGCCAAAAAAATTTCACGGTGCTTATTTGTGATTGTAGATTATTAGCGGTTACTCTCTCACCATAATTCCCGCTAGACAACCTTGAACGCTGGCTTTACCTGTCAAGGACAGTGAAAGTCAGGGTTCAAAGAATCCTTTTCCTATTCATTTTGGTTATAATTCTGGCGGGAATTTTACTTATGAAACTCGTTTGGAAGATCTTTGTCACAATCACTAAATACTTCGTTGATTCCCTCACATACCTTAGAATTTTGGAAACGTTATTTAAATAATTGTGAATTTTTGCTTACTGATTTAATATACAGAAAATGTTTGTTATTAGTTGCACGGAAAGGAGAAAAAAAAACTATGTTTATTTTCCCAGGAATAAACTGGATATTTTGGAGATTGCTGATTTTTATTCTCAAGCGCTTAAATTTACTTTCAAAAATCGATGAATTCTTATTATACAGAGTATTATTCGTATTATACAACCTTTCGCAAGAGTCTAAATGGTTAATAAGTTGACTAACTTTTTGCTAATTTTTTGATAGTATATTTTGAAAAATAGCATTCTTTGTAATTTTTTTTTTAATATTTCGCATTAACATTATATATATTTTAGTTGATATTTTGTAAAAAAAATTTCAATTTTATTATTGCAGTTAATATTTTTTTAAATAAATTAGGAAGTAAAAAATATTAAATTGATTTTTAATAAAGTACTGCAGGATTAAAGGGAAGTATTAAGAAAATATACGTGCAATTATCATACTGCTTGAATGCAAATTTATTGCACTTGTTATATTGCATATATTGTTCCCCAATTCATATCAGAAATAGTCCCGTTTCGTTTACCTTCCAAATTTCTGGTTTAATCTTAAAGGTCTTTTTCCAGGTCTTTCAAAAACTGAGTTCTTTTTGTATCGCAAGTTCAATGTTACAATAATGAGACCGTGCCGATTTTTATAAATAAAAATAGGCTTTCTATATTTCATTTCTTTAACACTTCTTTATATTAATAACTATTTGGTTAGTGAAAAGCTGCCTCCTTTTCCCCCCTCCCCATAATTGTGGCGATTCTATTCTGCTGGTTTTTCTGATACGATACGAGATTTTCCATTTGTGACGTCACGAAGAATAGGAATCACAAAATTTTTCTCCCTGTTTCCATGTTTCAACTGATCATTTAAACATAGATGGCAACAGTCAGAGTTGATTGTCAGTTTAGTTTCTAATTCAAAGAAAGCCTCTTTTGTTTAATTTTTTTTTAACACTTGTTCAACTTTAAATTATCAAAATTTTCCAGAGTATGTATTAAATAAAAAAATATTTTCTTATGAAAAGATAAATTTATTGTTCAAAAATATTTTCTGATTGTTAAATATCTTATTGTGCAACATCTTAATGTGCTATCAAAGTTAGGGCATTTTATTTAATGCTTCAAAACTAGCAGCTTTAGTGAAACTCTGATTTCTTCTGAGACCAATTGTTAATTGATGAACTTAATTTATAAACTTGAATTCGACTTGCATAATAATCTAATCATTTTCGTGTTGACTACAAAATCGCTCTATAGGCCAGTATATAAAAAATCAAAAGGATCAACAAGCTTTTGTCCTAAATAGTACCAGTAATTATAGTTATAACTAATTTTTCATCTGATTATTATGAATGCTGAATCTTTTAGTTAAATTAATAGTTATTAGTCTAAAATAATGTTTTTACCTTTTCAGAAAATGTCTAGCCCAAGCAAAGAAAATTTGCCTAAAGTTCCTGCTCCTTTGAAAGATGAATTAGCTCAATTTGATTCTTCAAAAATGAAGCATACTGAAACACAAGAAAAATGCTCCTTGCCATCTAAAGACGGTAACTGTTTATTTTAAAATCTATACATGCTTCAGGTTTTAATCATTTTTCAGCAATCAAATCTAAGAATTTTTGTCAAATAGATCTATTTTCAAAACTTTTGAAAATAACAAAGTTTTCATAAGAAACAAAACTATAGTTTTGCTGCAATGTTTATATATGTTGAATCTGTATTTCCTTGATATAACGTTAAAAAACATAGAATTGGTACCATGAATGACCCAAATCAGGATAATGTTTATTTTCACTGGTGAATGCCAATAATCACATAGTCGCTTTGATGAATGTCCGAAGTATTTGTTATCAGATTTGATATTAATTTATTCGTTGATAATTTATTTGATATTTTAATATCTGCTGAGGATAGAGTAGGAGAAAAATCAGTGTCCAGAGCATCTGTTAAATGCATACCGAGCTGTCGCCCTTGACCTTTAAAAAAAAACATTGATGTAGGGCATACTGGGCAGTAGTATATGTTTCGGACATTTGCCAAAGCAACTATGATTGTCAACAATCACCAGCTTCGGTCATTTACAGTAAAGTAATTTTAAAAAAATTCTAAATATTATATTGTTTTTTTTTTTTAAGTTTGATATATTAAGTTTTCTAAAAAAGCATTTTTCAATAAAAATATTTTTGGTTATTTATTTTAGGGGCCGTAAAAAAAGCTATTACTGGAGAACGTATTAATATTAATTAGTACAGTAGAGAACCAATTATCCGGGATGCTCGGGACCAACGCTATCCCGGATATCTGAATTTCCCGGTTTTCTGGATCGACCAAAAAGTGTCGTTAATCGATGTTTTATCGAACCCTCATGCACATATCCTAATCATATTTGGAAAGATTTCTGTATCGTGATCTGTTGCAGAATAATCGCCAAGTTTTGGCGGCTATTGAGCAATGGCCTTAGAGAAACTAAAAATAAGAAAAATCACAGAAAGTGACCAACTTGAATCGTATCCACCCCCAGGCAAGCACCTACTTGTTTTTTTAAAGTTCAAAATCTATTTGGCACTTTGATTTGGTGATTGTAGTTGGCCCTACAGATAACGATAAGGAAATATCCCCTTATATTTTTTTTAGAAATGAAGAGTTTAAGAATCTTTCATGAGTGCTCAAGAAGTGCTTAAGAGGTTCTAACTTTTTATTCAAAATTTGGCTATGCACCCTGTGTAATTAACTATGTAATCATTGTTATCATGGCTTTTTAAAAACCATGGGTGACATTTTGTGTGGAAAGAAGCTTTAAAAAACTGGAAGAATGAAAAAAATTGGATGAAATGGAAGAAACTAAAATAGTTAAAATTCTCCTTATTGATATTTTAAAAAAATAACTATTTTAATTTTATTTATTTTAATTTTGTGCAGAATACTAAAATTTTACAGCTCTTTAGTTTGGGTAATTTAACNTTTCTGTTCACTGATATGCATGCAATGCATTTTCCCCACCCCCCTCGTAAATCAAGCAGAAAACGAAATCAGCATGCCACACCCTTGAGTTTGATTGACGGCCTAAAGGAAAAAATAAAACAATCCTCCCTTCCCTGCCTTCAAGGTCACGGAGGAAATGACGTTTCTCTGGGTAAACGGGGAAAAAAATCTTCCCCTTCCTTACATTTTCCTCTACTCAACTTCAAGGAGGAGTCCAATTTCCGCTTTTTTCGTTCTTGTTTAAAATGGCGGGAAATTCGAGCAAAATTTTTCCCGGTTTTCTGGTTTCCCGGTTATCTGGATACCGGATAAATGGTTCTCTACTGTATAAGATGTCTAACACCACGTTTTTCTCATGGAGTCCTTATAAAATGAAACAATGAGATAGGCTGGTAGTATTATCTTGGAAATGTTGCCCTAAGAATTGTAGAAAAATGACTTCCATGAAATGAATCAATGGTTTAAAAAATTTTAGTGTAATTTTGGATTTTTTTTTCTACAGAATATTCCTTGTATGAAAAGATATTTCTGTGTAAATTTTACTGACATTTAAATGTATTGGTACTTTAATTTTTCTTCACCTTTTCAACAGTGTTGGAAAGTTTTAAAAAAATTAACTGAATTTATTTAAAGTTTTTTCTCGTTTAGCAACAATGTTATCTAGTAATAGTTAAGATGAATAGACAAAGTATTTAAGTATTTTATTTTTTTTGTGTAGATGTTCAACAAGAAAAAGCACATAACAGTATTCTGACTGGTGTTGAAGGGTTTGAACGTTCCAGGCTAAACTCTGTAGAAACTCAAGAAAAAGTTATTTTGCCAAATGCTGAAGGTAAATATATGTAAATAAAAAAAAATTATTGTTATTGATTGTTCCTTATTTAACTAAATTTCGCATTAAAAACCTAATTTTTAGCTTAAGCTAAAGGAGCATAGTTTTTTTTTTTTTTTTAAATGTGTTTAAAATAGTTTGTATTTCTGTAAAAAAGTTAGATTTAAGCAGTTATATGCGACAAAAATCAAGAGTAAAAGGAAAGTTAAAATGAAATATAGTTTACATATTTTGAAGAAAAAAAACTGCAAGCCCAAAATATGGCAAATTGCACATATTTGTTAACTTCAGAAATATAGTTATTTTTGTATAAATATGTTGTACACAGTAATTTTAAAATTTTGAATTATATTTTTCTTAAACTAAAAATAAGTAATTGATGTAAAAGTCTAACTTATTAGGGGCTCTTGAAAAGCCAATTTTGCCTATAAAATCTTGTTCCTCTAAGCCTATTACTTTACTATACAGAAAATTCTGTAGTATTTATTCAGTTTTCAAGAAAAGAAGAGGAAACTTCATTAATTTTGAATTAGTCAATTTATGTCTTGTTTATATTTTACTTTACTAAATAGTTTGTCTAATTTAGTTATGTAATTAGTTCTTATATTAGTACTTTTACAATTTACTTTAATTATGATGTACTTTTGAAAGCTGTTAGAATCTGAAACTAAGCACTTTATTCTCATAAGACTTAGCTCAAGAAAAAGTGCAACAAAGCTTCTTGAATGGTGTAAGAAGTTTTAAAAGAAATTCTTTAAAGCACACTGACACAGAAGAAAAATTCTTCCTTCCTACAAATGATGGTGAGAGTATTTGGATGCTGTTTTGCATTAACCATGCTTTTAACAGCTATTCGGGATAATAAAAATTATTAACCGAATATGAAAATACTTTAATTCTTTTATTGTCAAACTACTAAAACATTTACATTGAGTTGTTTGTTTCCTAACAAGTAATTTTTATGAACGATTTTGCTTACTAGCTCCAATTTTAAATATTTAACCTGTGCTATTAATTATTTTTTTTTTTTTAAGTTTTAAAGCTTTTCTTCACGCTGGTAATTGAGTCTTCCTGTTATAAAACTTTTGAGAATCATCAAGTTTTATTTTAATTTATTTAAATACTAAATGCAGGGTATCCGCGCTCCTGGAAAGTCATGAATTTCAGTATTGAACAAAATTAGTCATGAAATGTCATGATTTTAAATTTTTTTTTTTTTTTCTTAATCGTGGAAAGTCATGGGTTTAGGTCGCCAAATTGGTCTAATTTTTAAAATGGAATCCTCCTCCCTAATGTCATGGTGTTCTGAACATCTGAATTTCTAACAAAATCCCCTCTCAGTCATATTTTATTGAAATATAAAATGTTTTTATCGTGTTTTTTCAAAAAATGAAAGAAAAAACATCATTTCTAGAACGAATTATCTTTTAAACTTCTGTGATTTCAAAAAAAAAAAATTTTTTTATCAGTTTAAAATTCTAACTAAAGCAAGCCAGTCATTGGCAAATTTTTTTTACTCCGAAATGAGAACAGAAAAATCTGGAGTATTTCTTTCCTTTCCGATTAACGAGGAAAGTATCTTTAGAATATTAATTCTGCAGAAGAAGAAAAATTATTTGCTTTTTTTTCCAGCTATTTTATTGCTTCAACTCTTTCTTTACTCTGTTTTTTAAATTTAACATCTATAAATATGAAGATGCAGAGTATAACAGTTTAGGTTATACCTATCATTTCAATGAATATTATTATAATGCTTTTCAAATTTATTGTTCTGTTTTTATTGGGAGAAAATATTAACTTCATTAAGTCATGGAAAGTTCTTGAAATTAGTCATGAATTTGAAAATTTAAAATGTAGCAGATACCCTGTAAATAAATCTTGTTGGTTCTTGATTTGTCTCAACCAAAAAACTCAGTTATGTCATCTTTAAAATTTAACATTATTTACACAGCTTATTAAAATTGAAAAAATTGAGTACTTGTATTACTGTTTTTATTCATTTTTGATAAACTCTTTATTTAACAAGTTATGCCATTTTGTTTCCCGCACTTCTTGACTTAAAAGTTTCTTATGAGCCTTACTTTTTAGAGAATTTTTTACTAATATTGTTTTATCAAATTTACTTTATTTTTATTTGGCTAGTTTTTTAGAGCTCAATAACACTCATTAACATGTCTTGAATTTGTTAGTTTTTTTTTTATTTTTTTATATTAGAACAAAAAATTAAATAGTTACTTACTTATTTGTGCATTTTGTAGAAATATTTCAAAATTTGTAGCTGATTTTTACTTATCGAATAGTTTATTTCAAAGGGGCTTTGAAAGAAAATTTAATTAGTTTTAAAAATTAAAAAAACTACTGATATTAAAACTATTCATAACTCTTCTCTATTTTTTTTATTAAGAATTATTTAAATATCCATTTTTAAAAAAAAATCCTTTTTTTTTTCTTTGGATTGAAAATTTGTTTCTTCTCCATTTGTAATCCATATCTAAACCTTATGTCTTGTTTCCAACCTATTTCTCTTTTGTGTGAATTTAATTGTGGTTATTGGATTGATAGTCCCATGTACTTTCCTAAATCCTTAGTCTTTTCCTACCTTGTTTGTCATTCAGTAAATACTTATTCCACTATTTGACAGAACCCTGCTTAGTATGTTAACACATTATGGTTCAGCTGGTCGTTGTCTGAAATTGCTTTTCTATTTAGTTTTCTGCCTGGGGGTGCCCAGAGGAAGGTATGGGGCTATTCAAAGGCTAGATTATTCTAGAGACTTTGGCTAATAAAAAAAAATAGTCCTCTTATTTATATTAAGTTTATTTAACAGCTTGAGTTGAGTTTTGCCATGTATTACAATGATGGTTTCCCATAGCAAGGAGTGTTGGGATTTGAAACAGATTTATCTAGCTATCGGGGATGAGATTTTTCCGCTTTTCAGAGGATTTTCGCTTTTGTTTCTCAAATTTCAGCCTTTTTATCAAAAACTTCGATTTTCTAAAAGTTTAGGCTTTTTTTTTTTAATTATAAATGTTCCGCTTTTTCTGGAAATTCAGTTGTTGAAATAAAATTATATCTATTTCTGGTTTTAAAAGATAAGAGAAAATTCAATCTACGTAGCTGCCAGCCCTTCTGCATTTTTACTTATTTTAGCTATTTTAACACTTTTAAAATCAGTGACTTTAACTTCTTTTTTTTTAAGTTGGAGACCTTTTTTAGTCATTTTACTTATAATTTCTGCAATTTTGAAATCTGAAAAATTGTCAAGACTTAATTATAATCAACATTTTTTAACTAACATTTAGTCAAACGTTCCCAAGAAAGCTGCTGCAATGTGAGGGGTTAATATTTTTTCAATTTAAATCAGTTTAAGACATATATATAATATTTAGAAAATAAACTGTTTGGGCACCCCTTGATCTCATCTTTATTCTTGATGGAGCTAACTTCCTTATCCTCTTGTAATCTTTTTGATTTTTTCCAACAAAGGCTTTTGATTGTCAGAAATTTAAAATATTTTTTTTATCAATATTTTTAATGATTAGATGTTGTGCAAGAAAAAATACACCAGAATATGGTAACTAGCTTGGAATCTTTTGATAAAGCTGCTTTGCATCATGCTGAAACAAAGGAAAAGGCAGTTTTGCCTAGTTCTGAAAGTAAGGATATATTTTTCATTCATTTCAATTGTAAAGTTTTCTTTCTCTCAGTGTCCTATCTTCAATGTTATTGAATTAACCTTTTTAAATAGTCGGTGATTTACTTTAATGTTAAGTCTGCCCTAGTTTCAGAACCAGAAAAATCAGCATGCAGGTGGAAAGTTTGGTGTGAAGTCTAGGTGATTACTACTACCATCTACACTCCAATTATCGTATTGAAATGCTCAAATGCAGCAGTATTTATCTTCAAATCGTCACTAATTTTAATCTGAGGATGTAGCCTATTGGTGTATCTCTGCGGCATTCTTTACAATCTAAAAATATCAAATATTTATGCTTGTTTATTCTTACAATGCTTAAAGTATTTTCCGAAAGATTTAGAATACTCGTGAAACTTTTTTTTTTCTTGCAAAGGAATTTCTATGCAACTGATAAGGATTTCAAAAAATTGGAAAATAAATACAATTTTCTAATAAGAAAATAGAACTGGATGCTAATTCTGCTTAGAAATAAGGTTTAAAATCACATTTAAAAAAAAGTCTTCAGTAAACTTATTTTTTATTTAGTTGAAATGTAATGCAACTTGACTCTGTTCTTAGTGTACTTATTATGATATTTATGTTCTTTCAGTAATTGAGCAAGAAAAGGGCCACCAAAAATTAGTGCATGGAATTGAAAACTTTGATACTTCAAACTTGAAGCATGCAGAGACATTAGAAAAAAATATCTTGCCTTCAAAAGAAGGTAAGAATTTTATCTTCCTACCTTTTTTTGCATTAAATTTAATTAGACTGACTGCAAGTTAGAAAAGTGTTGTATTTTATAAATTTGAAAAAACATGTAAGTAAAATCTCAATTTGAGAAATATGTCCATATAAGTAAGATTGTAAGCTAGTTTTCTTTAATTGTTTGTGCCACCTTGTACCAATTCAGTTACATTGGCATTTATGTTTTATTATTTTAGTAACTAAATTATTTAGTTATTTTTTGTTAAGCTCAATTTGCAAATCTGTAATTACAAATTTTTGTGGAGATGGGCGTAAGAAGTTGGAGAAAAAAACTCAGCTAGAGTTTAGATGGAGAAAAAAAGTTTGCGTTGTAGTGTTTCATTTTACTTCAGCTAAAGTTATAAACAGTTTTCAAAAAGTAAATCTTTACAGATTAGTTGATTAAAATATTCTTATACGTGTAGAACTTTTTATGAAGAATTGTTATGCTATTATATTGTAGAACTTTTTGTGAAGAACTTTAAATGTTCACATATATCAGTTTTGCACCTCTGAATAGCCTTTTAATTTTGTTTGAATATTCACCAACTTAAACCAGAAATCTCTAAAATGTCAATTCTAGCATTTCTTGGTTGCTTGAAATTTGACCATATTGTTAAGGGCTTTTAGACAAATATTGGACAAAATATTAAGATTTTTAGTCCGAAATGTAGTTAAAGTTTATTTCTGAATAAAATAGATCCTATATATTCAGGTTCTGTAAAATTAATTTTTTTTCACACACAAAAAATTAAAATTCTTATTTCATTCTCGAAATTTATAAATTATGCTATAATCTTTGAAAATTTCATTTAATTTGAATTCAAATATTTGTTTAAATTCTTTAAAAATATATATTTGCTAAAATGTAATTTTCATAATTTTGACAAAGAATTAAATTCAAAACTGTTTACTTATAATTTTGAAGTTAAATATAATAAAGTATTTATTTTTTCCTATCATTACTATTTACATTTTTTCACCTAATTATAAAAGTAATTAAATGTAAAAAAAAATTGTTTTTAATTTTGCGCTTAACTGTTATTTGGCTTCAGCTAACTGTTAATTTATATATGTTTAATAATTATGTACTAAATTATAACATAAACAAGGGTCGCATTCCCCCTAAAATTCATGAAATTCCTAAAACTATGTGCAAACCCTAAAATTCCTAAAAATCTGATAAAATTTTGTTGGCGTTCCTAAAAAATTAGAGTTATAGGTTGAATATAAATAAAAAAGCAATAATCTAAAATATAAGAATTTAACTACATTAATTAAAACTGTTTTAATTTTGCCACATGGGAATTCTGATCCTGAGAGAGGTTTTTCGATAAATAAAGCAATGCTTAATGTGAGTCACCATGAGAATACTATTATGCCTCTTAGACTAAACAAATATACCATTCGAAATTATGGAGGAGTGTTGAAGATCACCACAACACTATTGAGGGCAGTAAAAGAATCTCACAAATCATATCAAGAATATATTAGAAAAATGATCATGATTAATTTGTTTTTCTCTAACTTCTAATATAAATTGCTGATTTGAAATCTAATAATATCACACAATAGTTTTTCTTAATAAAGTAAGGTAAAGGGTAATAATAAAGTTTTGATTAAGAAGGTAAAAATTAAATAAAAATCCAAGTTGGTGTTAATTTATTTTTTCTCTTGATTTATTCTCACTTTTGCCTGTTCCTGAATTATGCACTTAATTTCTGATAGGTAATATGTAAAGTTGAAATTTCATTTTTACACTTTAGAGATTTCATTCTTGACTTAATAAATTTCAGAGCTTTATTTTATGGCTTGCAATTATTTATATGTGTGGATGAATTGTAATAATCTTCTGTTGTGTAATAAACTACCGTGTGATCTGTTTTTATCCTTGCAAAATCATATATTACCCCTAAAATTTACCTAAAATTTTTTGAAAAAAGTTCCTAAAATTACCCTAAAATTTTTAAAAACTTTGCTGCTACCCCTGCATAAATATTATATTTTATGAATTCTTTGTTATGTTCAGTTAAGAAAATTTGCTATCTATATTGAGTTTAAAACTGAAACACCTGATTATCTCATTCTGTAAAATCTCACTATCAATCTTGTATAACTTAGATATTAAGCAGCATTAACTTAGGTGTTAGTAACTTTTTTGAAAATTTTCTTTAGATATAAATCTAAATACTTATCACTGATTAATGTAACTTTTTAATAAAATTTTATTACATTAATTGTTTTGTCTTGATTTGCAGCCATTGCAATGGAGAAGAGTGCTGCTTAGCTTCAATGTATCTACATGCAAAACTTCCATGTCCTCAAGTGATGTATTTAGTGTCTGTGTAAAACCATCGAATTTGTTCTCAACCATGAAAATATTTAATCAATTTTATGTAAACTTTTTTCTAAGACCTTGGTTTGATAAATTTAAAGAAAATCAATATATCTGTATAATATTTTTTCAAAAATATGTGCTTTTATATTTCTCCATTTTGTAATGCTTATCAATTCCTGAATATCATTTATATTTGCTAGTCTTCTGGGAAGTTCTTTTCATCACAGAACTTTTTTTTTCCAGTTTATACTTTTGATACTTAAACTATATTTTTCGAATATTTTGCTTTTGTAATATTAGATTTTTGTATTCTACATAAAGTACTTATAAATCTTATGACTGTTAATTATTTAGTATTAATTTCTTACATTTCAAATATAATCAATAAATTCCAATGTTCTGCAAGTTTTTAATGGAGTGGAATTATAATTACTATCAAATATTCTTTTAAATAAAAATTTAATATATTACTTATCAACTTTTGCTCTTAACAAAAAATGATTTTCTGGAGTTGTAATAAAATGTAAATGGAAAAATCAGACAAATTTGTTTTAGCAGAGCTTAATCAAAGCTGTGTTCAATTCTCATGTATTTGTTTTATTCATTTGTGGTGGTATTTAAATTCTTCCTAAATTAAATTTATTAATCTGAGACTGAAATAGTAAATAAAGTTTTGCCGTCACTTTAAATGTAAAAGTAATATATGGGAAAATTGGCAATTAGAAAATTATTAGTTTTATCAAACAAAAATTATGTAATAGATTTTGCAGTAAACTTTGAACTACTGTTTAATGCTTGATTAAAAACTTCATAATGTACAAAATGGAAATAACAGCGGATATGTTTCAAGTGTTTAAAAATAGGTGCTTATTTTCAAGACTTGCCAGACATGAAGGAGGAGAATCTGGAAATATTTCTTTTGCCTGTTAACAATATTTAATTAAAATCAGTTAAAGATTATATTTGTTTTAAAAATCGCTGGGTTATTTACCACATTCCTTGGCAGTGTGAGCTTGACTACACACTTTAAAATTTTGACTTGAGGATCATGTTGCAATGTTGGGCATAAATTAAATTTCATCAATAGTTTGCAAATATGACGTTCATAGATGGTGAGATTGTCCTAATTATCTTAAATTCACTATTTGTAATATTCTAAATAGTGCTATTCTATTTTATTGACATCTGGGAACAGATAAATTTCTTTCTCTCATCCTTCAAATTTTGTTAATTATAATTCTTTTTAAATTTATTTTTCTTAATTTGAGCGTCATTTTTGTATAAAAGTTGTCCTATTTAAATTTGGTCCAAAGAAACTTACTTTATTAAACAGGTCGCAATTTTTTCTGTGATTAAAAATTTAGATTAGTTATGAAAATGATTTATTTATTTTAAATGGAGTTTTTTAATTATTTCAAAAACATCAAAGAATTTTATTTAGAGGTTAGTTTATAACTTATTAAACTAAATGGTGTATTTAAAGGCTGAAATTTGATTGGATTTCAAATGCCAATTTATTTTATTCATTAGTTCTCTCCATGTTTTTTTTTCTAATCGTTGTATTGTTATATTTATTAGAAAATAACTATTATTAAAAAAAAAGCAACTCTAAGCATATGATTAAGAAAATTTACCAAATTTGTTTTTGATCAACAAAGTAATAAATCAACAATTAAGTAAAGTTGACTACTGAAAATCTGCTCAGATTTAAATATTTTTAAATAATATATATGAAATTAATAAATATAATGAAATTCAGTGTTATGGTCATTGAAATTAGGTTGCAATGAAATTTAACATTAGGATAAAGTTTAAAAGTAAAGTGTTTTTTCTTATATAAATGCAGATCTACATTTTAAGCTTTTGAATTTGAATATCTGATTTGGATTGATAGTAAGAAAAGATTGAATTAGCCGCAATTGTTCTTTTCTTTTCTAATAAGATAGTCATATTAAGAAAAATAGAGATGAAGGATATTGAGAAAACTGTGTTCAAAGTAAACACCTTTTATAAAACATTTATTTTTAATTTATATTAAAAACTTTTAACTGAAACTAAAGTTATTTTTTGAAAAATCCATTTTTTAAAATTTCAAAACAATTATTCATCAATATTACTCTTTCTGAAAATTATGTTTTTGGGTGAATTAAATCTTTAGTTATAAAAAAATATGTAGATCTGAAACCCACAATATATTCAGCCTCTTTAAAATTTTCATACACTGATATCTAGATTACAAAAATCATGTTTTGGCTGAATGTAAAGAATATTACTAGAGATGAAAGTGTCTATACTTCTTTAAAAGAAACTTTCAATTCGTACTCAAAGAAACGTAGAAATCAAGCAACAACAAAAAAAATAGCTAGTGTTACTCTGGCTCGTGGGACTCTTATCTATCTAAAACAAAGGTATTTGAATAGATGGCGTTTGAAATAACATAAAAATATTCTTTTGGTAAAGAAGTTAGAGACAATGCCAACATTCAAATATGAAAAGGTACCCCACCATAGAATCTATTTAACATGTCTTATATACTGCCGAGTTGGAATTATATTTTTGTTGTGGTAGATACGCTACAGTACTCCCCCATCAGAATTGTATCTGTGATAGAATTCGATGAGCGGATACCACTAGTTGATCCATTGTTATTTTATATATATATATCCGTCGTTGAACAGCCGTCCCAATTTTGAGTTTACGACTACTACTGTTAAACCCCGTAACCTTGTAATTTTGAACCAATCCAGAAGACAAGGAAACTCCTGGATCAGTACCTCCAGAGGTATTGATTTGTTATGGGAACATGGACGAGTTTGCGACTCGGCAGATTTAACGTACGCCAGTCACCATTTTCTACACGGGAGTCTTCGGCCGGCGGGGATCGAACCCACGCACTCTTGGATATGGGCCCTTTCCATTGTTGTTTTGTGAAAAGCCGTGAGAGCTTTATAAAGATCACCGTACTTTTTGAGAGCTGTATAAAGTTCATGGTCTTGGTTGCTCCTATGTTGCCTTTTAAGCAGTCGAGTGTGCATTGTGTGATCGAGACTGTGAAGTACAATGTCGCAGTCACAAGTAGCAAGTAAACTGTTTAATGTGGACAATCCACTGAAGTAGGAGTTTCCGTTAAGGTAAGCGTGTTTCCATCACGGCCGGGTCTCCAATGTTGGAAGAGAAGTTATAGACAATTCCAACATTCATCTATGAAAAGGTACTCCGAATCGATTTAATATGTCTTATATACTAGTGAGTTGGAATTTATATTTTTGTTGTGGTAGATACACTACAGTTCTTTTTACAATATTTTACCTTTAACATTAATTGTTTTCCTAATGCAATAATTTAGTTCTCGACATTTGTTTTTATATCTCACACAGCTATAATTTACCTTACCTTATTGTAAAGTAATCAAGAGAGTTAGGAAGATTGGTGATAAATACACAAAAAAAAATGTCTTCCAAATTCTATTCCTACTTCAATTTCTTTGAACATAAGTAAAAATAAGTATCATATTTTACTGTCCATTAAAAAACCCATGTCATCTTATCTAGAATTGTGTTAAAACATTTTTATAAAATCGAAATTATTTATTAAAGAAATTGTAAATATCTCAGGATCAAAGCTTTTCCATGATTCAACAAAAAATGCATAGTGAATTTAGTATTGCTATTAGCACAAAAAAAGCGTAAATTATTTTTTCTTTTCTTATGGGGGGGGGGAGGAATAATGTATAATATAAAGCTTATGCTTAATTCGTGTCAAAAGACTTACAAAGTTAAAATTTTTGACAGCGAAATCTTTCAAGAAGGCATCCAAAGGATGATAAGAGCACACACTGGCGTCCATTGTCAACACAGTTCAATAATAGAAAACTAATAAAAGCCTCTTCCCTTTATTAAAACTAAAGTTACTTTTTAATGCGAGTTTTTCGTTATTGATTGACTAGAAAATCGACACCAACGTTCATACCATTTATTCTCTGGGTGCCATAGTAAATTTTTTCTTGTCCTAAGTTGAATGGGACATTTGTCGATGATTTTTAATTTTCAGAAGTCTAAAGTTTGATTACCATTAGCCCCATTTTTTATTTATGCATTTTAAACAAAAAATTTAGTCATTTTTTTTCTGATGTATTTTTTCACGTTAAACAGAATGGTACTAATCCCGAGACGATGGATGTGACTAATAATTTAGAAATTATTAAGAGTTTCAAGTACAAATTCGTAAATGTACTTAACTATGCATCTGTTATTGCTAACTAAATAAGTGGGGCATTGTTTCCTTCATATTTTTTAAACTGGATCGAATGAGACTGTACACGAGTCAATAGGACGAATAGTTTAAAAGTTGCAAGCTGTTTCATGCGAAAAAAGAGCCATGGTTCCCACTTTTTACTTAGCAATCTAGGGACTATCTGAAATGAGATATAATTCAAATTCATATAAATAGTTATGTAAGGTTACAAGATTTTCTTCATAATAAGTGCCATTCAAAGACAATACATTTTGTATATCTATAAAAAATCATTTCAATTTTTGAAATATATGCCTTTTTGATTCGTTTTTGGTCTTGTTTGATTGAGCGAGAAAAAAATACGTATGAAACAATACCTCATTTGTCAGTATAGCAATGTAAGGTATGTAAATAAGTGCTACTTAAAACTTTTAAACTATTAGTCCAATCGTCTTGGGATTGGTCTCGTATAATTTAGCATGGTAACTAGCACTACTTGTTCTATTAACTCGTGTTTTCGTAAAAGCATTCATAGTAATTAATTTTTCGTTAAATAATACTTAGGAAATAATGTCTTACCTGTTTAAATAGCAAAATCAGATGCGTAAGTGGGTATATGTATAAATGTGTACTTTTTATCGATTAAATCCTTATAACTTCTAAGCTATTATTCCGATCGTCTCGGGATTGGTCTCATTCAATCCAGTGGAAAAACATACGTTAGAAAATATGCCTCACCTGCCTACCAAGAAGAAATTTAATTCTCCCACTCAAAAAAGGGGGAGGCATACAGAGGAAAGTTGGGAAGTTTTTGAGTATCATTTTTAACAATATAACAGAGATTTCAATGAAAAAAAAAATTAGGCACTATTTTTTCCGTCAAAAAAGTCTAACTTTGCTGGACTGTAAGGTTGAGAATCAAATTTAGTTTTAAATTTATAAATTCACTACTTACTTTTAAATATTTAAATGCAACCAATGTATATCCATAATATAAGAATAGAGTGTAAGTATTAGACCCCAATTTTAAACTTAACTTCATTTCAATTTTGAATTTCAAAACACCCTCCATGGAAAGTTATACCTACGTGCTTGAACTAGAAACTGTTCTGGACTTACCAGCATTCTCACACATAAAAAATATGATAGCTTGTTATTTTTACTTACTAATAGTCAATACTGATAGTCAATAATATATATTTTTTTTTTAAATTAATATATACTAGTGTACTAGATTGGTAAAGCGGTGTGTTTATCTATTCTCCATAAAGAGTCATTAGAATAAGGCAATTTTTTTCACATTTTTATTAACTAGCAACCCTTAATATTTTATACAACTTTTCTTGAAGGTTTGAAAAATAATTTTTGTAAAATTTTACCCTAAGTAAAAAATACAGGATAATGACGCAGTCTCAAACTTTTTAAAAAATATTTTAACAAAGTGTTTAAAAAAACTTAAAAAATGGAAGAAATGTATTATTTTTTAAAAAACCTACTCTAATTTTGCTTTTTATCAGCAAATACTTTTTATTTTGCTCGTGTTTACTTTTATTTTCTGTCCTACAGATCCACATGAATAAATTTAACAACGTATTCGTCTCTCTAAACTAATTATGGTTCATTAGCAAACAAATTAATGAGAGAATAAATTTCGCAGGCTTAACAGGAATGCCATAAAAATAGTAACTATAGTTACTATCCCTTTCTTAACCAAACACAGAATAAAGCGAAACTAATAACCAATCATTATTTTTTTTTTTACAATTTAATCATCCATTCATAAACCAATCATTATTTTTTTTACAATTGTTAAGAGGTGACGTCGTGAAGTGACGTTAGACTAAGTCTATTGTGGATAGAATCTCTCGGCCAAACACATTACTTTACTTTTGAAAAGAAGTGAAATACCACTGATTGAAAATCACGTGTTTCCTCGTGTTGACAAACAAAGATTGATACCTCGCTGGATTGATGACGTTCATACTTCATTTTCGAGTCAGTGTTTCATTTTCAAACATGCAATTCTCCTGAAATTTACTTACTTTTTTCTATTGATTGTCTCAGAAACTAATTAACAGTGGGTGGTCCACAATGTCAAGATTGCCTCTTAAAACTAGCTGCGCTTTATTGGCTACAACTGCCGGATTTCTGGCATACAAATATATCACTTCGAAAGTCACTAAACTATCAAAATGTATTGTCATTGAAAATGTTGAAGACTGGAACCGTCATGAATCTGAGATTATTTCAGTTTTAAAACATTCCAAAGTCATTGGATTAGATTGTGAATGGGTGAACGATGAAGGAAGGAGAAATTCAGTTTCATTGCTACAATTAGCCAACAACTCAGGTTATTGTATACTCATACGATTATGTTGTTTGCCGGTATGGCTTATACCTGAAGGAATCAGCAATATTTTATTGAATGAAAACATTTTGAAAGTGGGTGTGGGAATATATGATGACGCAAACAAATTGTTTGAAGACTATGGCCTTGAAGTCAGAGGATTCATTGACTTACGGTTTTTAGCTAATGATTTAGAGGAATTGCGAGAGAAGAATTTGGGGTTAAAAAGCCTAAGCCACGAATTGTTGAATATAGATCTAAATAAAAGCAAACGCTTACGATGTAGTGATTGGGATGCACCTGAATTAACTGATGAGCAAATTAAATATGCATCTGAAGATGTAATTGTTGCTGCTCAAATTTTCTTCGAAATAAAAAAGAGAAAAACAGGATGGTTTTCAATTTCAACTTGGAATTTCATAAAAGAAATTACTTCATATATGAATTTACAGTTCAAGCAGAAATATGTTAACAGCGGTGATAAATCTAGTTCTTCTCGACCCGCCCTGCCTTCGCGGTCTAATAAAAGTCGCTACAGCAAGCCACGCCAGAAGCCTATGTATGACAATTGCCAACTTGTGGCACCAGATGGTGAGATACTTTGCAGTTGTGATAAAGGTAAAGCTGAATGGTACGTCATGAAAGGTTTGGGTGAGGTGGTATGTCAAGAACCATTTACAGTGCGACTGAACTTTGAACCTTCTGGTAGACCTACATTAGACAATATATTTTATACAAAAGAGAAATCAAATTGTTGCGTTGTCTGTGGTAAAGCTGATCAGTTTCATCGCAAACTAGTCATACCATCTGAATACCGTAAATTTTTTCCTAATTTAATGAAGAAAAATTTATCTCATGACGTAATATTATTGTGTGTGAACTGTCATAAAAGAAGCAATATTATAGATCAGACAATGAGGCAAAAATTAGCTGACCTATGTGATGCACCCCTTGGCTGTAGAAAAAATGTAAAATTTAAAAGTAATCCAGAATTAATCCGTGTTAAGTCTGCAGCTACTGCTATATATAGAGCAAATGATAAACTCCCAGAAACTCGTAGAACTCAGTTAGAACAGACTATTAAAGACTATTTTAAAGTATCAACTGTAGATGAAGATACGCTAGCAGAAGCTCTGAATGTTGATGTTAATATGCCTAATGATGCTTATATTGCACATGGGCAGAAAGTATATGAATATTTTTGCAAAAATGGAGGTCTGATGGAATTTGAAAGGATGTGGAGGCAACATTTTTTAGATACAATGCAACCAAAATATTTACCTTCTATGTGGTCTATAGATCACAATCACAAAAGGCTAGCAATGCAAGTAATCAATCATGAAAGGGAAATTGACTTTGATACTTCAATTTTGGGAATAAACTCTGAGTTAATAGAAGAGATTAAATCTGAAACTAGCAAACAGACATAAATTTTTAAGTATTTTGTTAACAAATTTAAAAATGACTACTATTAATCAATATTAATTCATTGAAAGTTAGACCTGTTAGAAATTATTATTTCTGCTAAGGAATATGCAACATATACAAAATAACAATTTAAATTTCTAAATTTTTTTGTTATATTTTCGATTTTTAAAAAAAAAGTATTTCTACCTTGTGAGTGATTTATTATGCTACGAAGACTTCTTAGCGACAATTTACATTTTTAATGGTCACTCAGTATAACATTTGGTTACATATTCTTGTTAAATTATATTTGGTAACATATTCTTGTTAAATTATATTAAGTTATTATGTATTTATGTTATTTGTTTCTTGCAGTTTTCACTATAAAATAGGTGAATTTTTTATTTCTGTACTAATTATCTAAAATGTTAATGTACAAATAGGACCTGAGCATGAGAAGGGGTACTTGCCCAGGACTAAATATTAATATTGAAAAGATTTCAATTTAAGGTTTTTACAATTTCAGTTTTACACTTTATTAAAGTTTGTGCTTTGCTGACTCATTCAATTTTTGCTGGAAAGTTTTAATTTTTATACTGTGAAAAAAGTTGCCAAAATGCAATTTATTCATTCTAAATTTACCTGATTGATATATGAAATTTACCTAAATTTACCTCTTCATTTACCTGATATTAAAAGTGCAGTCAGTAATATACATACCACATGTATAAATGCAATTTACCAGTCAGATTCTCAATCGTTGGAGGCTTATTGAATAAATTTAGCATCTGATTGATGCAGCATTATGATGGATGATGTGTATAGCAAAAAGCTTATATGCAAATTGATGTAACTTGTGAAATTTTATTAAAATGAAAGTAATATGAATTTTATTGTTAGGAAAAATATTGGGATCTTTTAACTAAAATTCTACCAGTTGCAATGTTTGTCAACAGATGATGCTATGAACTGAGAGAAACTATAAGTAGGGCTAAAAATTATTGGTATACATTAGTCGAGGACCACTATAAACTCACTTGGATTACCAAGAAATAATTATTAGTGGGTTCTCAGATCAACAATAAATTGCCATCATTCAAGTGTAAAAGATTGGAAATGTTTTACATATATTTAACATTTAATATAATGACCTATTTGTGGTAAATTTATATAAATTTGAACTTTATAAAAACTCGTTTCCTAAAACATGATAAATTCAATTCAAAGGTACACTTAATTCCGATTTTTATTAGCTTCCAAAATGGACAATTGCAGTCAATTTTTTTTATGTTCTTAATGAATTCAGAATGATGGAAAAGTCCTGAAAAACATCTTTTTACCTCCCAAAAAATGCTACTTTTTTAATTAAGAGCAATTAAAAATCGTGTACTTTCGTTTTCAGTTTAAAAAGGAAGTCACGTGACTTTTAAGAAAGTGACGCCATTCGAGCCTGACTCGCGTTTGTTTACACTTTTTCTCCTTGGTGATTTAACGCTTGTTTACGTGCCTAGTTGAACGTCGTTTGTTTTTTTAAAAATATATTTTAAAATCGAAGTGTATTGCTTCTAAAATAGAAGGACACTTTGGGGGAAGATCTTTGATATCTTTTTTACCTAAACTAGAAGCATGAATAAATTTTTGGGATGAACCAACTGATGAAAGTTTAGATTTTTTCCAATAGCATTCTATTTCTGTTGGAGATGGTAGCGAACATTTTCGGTGAACCCAGAAAAGAAATGCTATCATGTGCTTGCATCCTCCTGCGCTGGCCGCACAGTTATCGCACACTAATGAGTTTATGACCCCAGAAGATTCATCACATGTCAAAGTTATTGCATATGCTTTGGTTTTTATTTTATGCTCAGGAGTCATTTTCCCTTTAACAATGCAGATATCACTTTCTCGCTTAACTTGCACATAGCCTATAGCATTATCCCCATATGTTTGTCTTGCTGATCTGAAGTTAAAATATATATATATATATATATATGTGTGAAAAAGATGATTTAAAAACTGAAAAACAGAATCTTATTAGACTAAACAACCAATTGAGACAGACCTGGCCTCCCCAAGGCCATAGTGTCGATAAAGAAGAAGAAGTTTTTTATAGCTTTCCTATGTCCATGTAATATTAGTTTGTGTTAATCGCTATTTCATATCTTTCTTTTCCGTAAAAATTCCAAAAGTTTCTGGAAACCTTAAATTATGAAATAGTTATTTAATATAAAATTTAGTATACATTAATTTTTTCTTTTTTTTACAGAATAGGGATAAAAACTATTATATTTTTTTAAATCCTTCAATATGCACACTATCTGCATAACTAGACGCTTTAAAATATAATGTAATAAAAATCTTTTTGATTTTTAATACATCATTCATAAAATGTACCAGTATCTTTCAAAATGGTTCATGTTATTATTTACACCTTGGATTTAACACTTTAAAAAATATTATGAAGCAAAACTTATTTTTAAATTTAATAAAAAAATTCGATAAAAAAACATTAGCAGGTGTAGTTAAAGTAAAATATACTAAAATTGAAGATGTGTATTTATGTTTGACAGTAGAAAGGGTAAAAATATTCTATAACTAGCTTGCCTCTGACTATTTCTTTAATTTTTTTTATAAATTAGAATCTAATTTTCTTTAATTTTATTTTATTAAATATTAATTTTTGATAAAACAATAATTTTTAATAAAAATAATAGCTTATTTATTTTTATAAAATCGTTTATAAATTATTTTTAATAAAATTGACTTCAATTAATTTTTAACTAAATTAATTTTAATAAAATTGATTGTAATTATTACAAAGTTGTTTATAATTGGTCTTTAATAAAATAATAACTTTAATTCAAATTAATTTTTAATAAAATAATACATTTTATTAAAATTAATTTTTAATAAAATAATTTTAATAAAAGAGTAAGTATAACGTTTATAATAATAATTTTGTGAGTAAGTATAATTATTTGTTTTTGTGAGTAATAATAATTTAGTGTGTAAGAATAGCGTTTAGTTTTATACTTTTATGAAAGTGGAAAGATGTTTTTAGTATACTTAAATCCTTGCTATATTTTAACGTGTACCTATATGTGTTATAACAAATCGCCGTTCCATTTTCACACACAAAATTATTTACAGCCAGGGGCGCCGGTAGAATAAAATATAGGGGGGTGCAACCCTTTAACAAACTACCATCCCCACAAAAAAAAAGATTAAAACTATTCTGTATGATTGCAATTCTTGTTTGATTAATCAATTTTTTACATAAAATTTTATAACTAAATTGCTTTTCTATTTATTTTTAATTGCTTAAAGAAAATCCAGGGTAGTGTAAGTGCACCTCCTTGCCGACGCCCTTATTTACAGCTACAGTTTATAAATAAACAAATTTATACCTTTGAGCCTTTATGCCTTTGATTTCAGGCGAAATGAAATCTTGGTTCGTTCGAAAAAAATCCATAATCATCTCTTCAGTAACTTGCGGCAAATTGTCCGTTTGAGCTTTTTGAAACCCCTCTTCCATTTTGATTCTATATATGCAATAGATTTCAAAATATTTGCTGCTAAATACGCATTTAAATACACGCGGGAAAATTTGGAAAAAATAAGTTAAAGAAGAGCTAGTTAAAACCGCAAGAAAGAAAATACATAATAACAACGGGAAGGTCGTGAGGAGTAAGGCTCTAATGACGTCACACCAATCAGCGGTCGTTTTCGAGTGAGGGCGTTTTCGCTCAAATTAAAATATTAATAATTAAATAAATATTTATTTGTCAGAGTTAAAAATTATATTTTCGTAATCAGGAAATCAATCTTAAGAAGTAATGACTATAATTTGGAAAATTTAAGAGATGCTGCAATTGTCCATTTAATGTTGTATTTATTACTTCTTTTTGTCTCCTGAAAATTTTTTTATAAAAAATTCTAATAAATTTATGTAAGCATATGAGTGAAAATATGTATGGACTAGTGTAATCATTTAGTCATCCATCCTTTGGGCAAGTAATTAAAACATAGCATTTGCAAATATAATTGTGACTAGGGATGTAACGACTAACAAACATTCAGCCACTATTCTGTATCTGACCCATTTGACAAAATATTATTTAGAAAATTATTTTTTTCAACCAAGTTTTTTTGGGGGAAATTTTAATAGATTTAATAAAGAATAATCTAAAATTGTATTTTTTACTAAACATTATTAGAAATAGTTTTTACGCATATTTGTTAAGTTCTGAAAGTCACATGGAAAAGCGAAATTTGAAGAATTGAAACTAGATTACTTTACACTGAACTATGAGTTATGTAATGTTACTTTTTTCTTTTTTTATTTATATTTATGCATTTTGAATTCATCGTTTTTTCAATACTATATGTTTTAAAAAATTGAAAACTTTTTTTTATTTGTTTCATTTTTGCTTGTTTTTCTGTTTCAACTAAGGCCTTTTTGTTAACTTTTCTTTTTATCAGTCTTTTTTTTTTATAACAGCATTTTTTAAAAATAGTTTCTATTGAACGTTATTCTTTTATGGTCCCTTTTTTCTAAAAATATAGCAATAAAAAAATTAAGAAAACCTTTTTTTTTTGTTTCTTTCCTTTTTTGTTTTGTTTCTTTTTGTTTTGCGAGGGATATCATGCAAAGACTTGGTTGGAAGAATTTGTACCATCCTTCCTATTCACCTGGTCTTGCATCATCAGTTTACCACTTCTTCCACTCATTAGATCAATTTTTTAATTATAAATAAAATAACACTTGCTTTATAAGTCAGGAGAATTCTTCGTTTGAAAATTTTATTCTTAAATAATGTATATATAGATTATCCCTTCATTACTTTTAGATGACGAACCACACAACAAAATTTTATAATTGTAAAATTTCGATATGAATTTTAATATGTAACTTAAAAACAGAATAGCTGAATACTAGTTGAAATTATTCATTCAAAATTAAAAAAATACCAAGAAAATGATACAAAATCTATTTATCAACACAAATGATACTCTTTCAAGTAATGCGGATTATTCTTTATTGTTGTTTTCTGTACTATTTTATAAAGAAGAATGTTCTATAACTATTACATTTTTGCCCATTTTGAAATCACTTTTATTTATTGAAATAAAGTAAATGATGTTAGCTTCCCTTTAATTTGTAATGAATTAAAGACAAAAAAAAAATCAAGTATTTTACCGTAATACGCTTATTTGTAACAGTATGCGATCATGGAAGCTATCGGTTGGCCAATTGTTGATATTATAAAGGAATAGAAATATTGAGAAATTGCTCATTAAATGTTGGGCGCATTCTGTTTCAGAATCATTTACCAATGTGCTAGTTGTTTTTTCAAGTTCTGCCTTTTTCTTAGGGAAATTTTGCAGCTAAAAAATGGCGTACTACTCTGCCAATGATTCTGATAGAACTAAGTGAAAACTTTATAAATAAAATCAATAGCCTATTGTGCAGCTCTACAACAACAGCAATAAATAAAAACCTTAAAATATCCTTCCCACTAGAGGGCGTATTCAAGAGCTGCGTTCGCAAATAAAGAATGTTTACGATTA